CCATACCAGGAAAGAGAAAATGACAGGTCTTATTTAGAAGCCTATCTGAAAGAGTTGTTGGGAATGGCAAGGAATATTGGGGGGATAGAAGTGTGTGTGTGATTTTTTATAGCTCTGTTAGAGGATGGTGCTGCAATTGCATAAAAGAAAACCCTAAAAGCTTGGCTTACTTGATACATGGGAAAACTATTTTTCACTTCCTGTCTGAATACATCATCAACTCTATTCTTACTGAACGTATCAGCTTCTGCTTAAAAATCATCCAGCCAGCTCCTCTACCTCCTTTTTCAGCTCATGGTTTTGATTATTGCAGATATGTTAATCGGGAAGAAAGATGATTGTAAGTGTAAATATAGTCTTATGATTAACTTTCTATGATGCTTGTATTTGAAGAATGGATACCACTTTTGACTAGTAAAATATAAGTTTCATCACATTCAATTTTTTTTATGCATATTTACATCCAAATGTTTGGCAGAATAATCCTACAAATTAATGTTCCTGAAAAATTTCAGTTGGCATACTGACAGATGATATTTAAATTATTTTTGTATCCTTGTCCTTCATTTTTTTTTTTTTTTTTTTTTTTTTTTTTTTGGTACCGGGGATTGAACTCAGGAACTTGGGCTTGCGAGGCAGGAGCCAGAACCACTGAGCTAAATCCCTGGCCCAATGTCAGTATTAATCTTTTTCCCCGTTCAGTTTTCATTGTGGTTTGTTTTGCTACTCATTTTTTTTGTTTGTTTTTGGCGTTTATTTTTTCCTCCTTTTTATTTTCTACGGTCTTTATTGCTTCGAACAGTATCTCACCTATTAGCCCCCAGCTCCCCCTGGTTGATTTACCAGGCTTACTACTTCTGGAGTATTTGATGTACTTCTTTTTTTTTTCCCATTAAGTTTATTGGTACATTTTCGGTATAAAATACAGTTACATTTGTCATTGGGATCTTGTACCATTACATGAATGAGTATCTTGGTTCTTATTTTTTTACCCTTCCCCTACCTTCCCATCACCCCCTCCACCCTTCCCTATTTGCAAAGACTTTGTTTCCATTTTTTTTCCTTTTCTCATATTTTTCCTTTTCCCTTCTTTCCTTTCCCCTACCCCTCCCACTTCCCCTGCTCCTTTAGACCTTTTCTTCCTGTTACACAATATCAATTATACATTTTAAAAATTACAATATCAAGATCTAAAAGACATTATCACAGATTTTACAGAATTTAAAAGGATATAGAAAGCATATTACAAAAATCTGTTTTGAAATAAATTGGACA